ACCGCAGCCTCGACCTGCTGGGCTCCGGCGATCCTTCCGCCTCAGCTTTCCAAGTAGCTGGAACTACAAGTGCGCGTTACTATGCCCAGCTAATTTTTTGATTTATTGTAGAGATGAGGTCTCGCCAAGTTGCCCAGACGGGTCTCGAACTCGTGGGCTCAGACAATCCACTCACCTCAGCCTCCCAAAGGCGCGGGATTACAGGCTGAGCCACCGAGCCTGGCATAAGTGTTCTTTATAATCACCACCTACACATAGTCATAAAAGAAGAGTCAGTTGGGCTGACAGATTGGGCCAAGTATCTAGGCATATGGTCTAATTGGTTTAGCTTATTAGAAACCTATTTTTAGTAGTTTCTTAACTAAAATACATGACTTAGTCTGTTATTCTATAGAAATCTTTTAACCTGCAAAGTCCTTGGGTTCTTGGCATCCATGGCCCTGGGTAAGACCACTTACAACTTTAGTAATTTTTTTTTTTTTTTTTTTTTTTGAGTTGGAGTCTCACTCTGTCGCCCAGACTGGAGGGCAGTGGTCGCTCCCGGCCACCGCAGCCTCGACCTGCCGGGCTCCAGCGATCCTTCCGCCTCAGCCTTCCAAGTAGTCGGAATTACAGGCACGCGCTACCACGCCCGGCCGATTTTTTGATTTATTGTAGAGATGAGGTCTTGCTGCCCAGGCGGGTCTCGAACCCGCGGGCTCAGGCAATTCGCTCACCTCAGCCTCCCAAAGGCACGGGATTACAGGCTAGCCACCGAGCCTGGCTACAACTTTAGTATTTTGAAAGCTCTTTTTTTTCTTTCTCTTTGTCTCTCTCAAAACTTATCACCTTGTAAAGCTAAACTATTTCTTTTACCTTTGCATACCAAACCTAGTGAATAGTTTATGGGCTGCAGCTGTAAAACTCTCTTTGAGCCTTTGAATTTTTCTAGATATTTATCTTTTAATGTTATTAATAGTGTAACATGTATTCTTTGGAATCAGGTAAACTCAGGTTTAAAATCTCAGGTCTCCATTGCATATAAATCATATAACTTTGGGTAAATTATTTAGCTTCTTAAGATGAGTTTGCCATCTGTTAAATGGAGATTGTAATGTTTATCTCATCGAGTTTTTAGTAAGGGGGAAATGAGTAAAAATATATGTAAAGCATAAGATATATTGCCTAGCATATTACAAATGCTTGAAGAAAAGTATCTGTTGTCTTCTTTGTTTGTTGTTATATGTTTTATAAACATGTTGCTTTTTTTTTCTTTCTTTTTTTCTTTTTTGAGTCAAGGTCTTCGTTCTTCACCCAGGCTGGAGTGCAGTGGCACCACAATTACTGTTTACAAAAACCTTGGCCCTCTGGTCTCAGACAATCCTTCTGCCTCAGCCTCATGAGTAGCTGGGACTATGGCACATGCCACCATGCCCAGCTGTATATATTTTATTTTTTGTAGATACGAGGTTCGCTATGTTGCCTAGGCTGGTCTTGAACTCCTGGGCTCAGGCAATCCTCTCGCCTTGGCTTCCCAAAGTGCTGGGAATCTCTGGCCCCCTGTTGCATTTTTTCAAATGCAACTCCATAGTAGAATATTCTTCCTTTTGTGTGTGTCAAATAAGATTAGAACCAGCGTACTTTTAGCATGCCAGCTATCACAGGCAATACTGTCTTTTTTAACGAGAATTTCCAGAATTTTATATCCCTGTTCTTTGAGGTCTTCTGCTCCCTTAAAAGGGGTCAAGGCAGTCATCTCCTGGCTAGATTTTTACAGCATCATATGTTTTGTAAAGAGATGAAAGAGATTACAATCTCATTCAAAAATTGTCGTTCATAAATGGATATGCCAATTTCCTCATTTAAATAATATTTAGGCAAAACATTTGATTTCTCTAAATGGCTTTTATTTTCTCAATTTCCCCATTTAACACTTTAAGAAGTATTGATAATTTATTGCAATGATGATTTTATTGTTAGAACAATTAATAGCTTTATAAATTACTTTTAATTGTATGTTCTAATTTATAATGGTTATTTTTCTTTGACAGCTAATATGAATCAGGTTCAATAATTTAACAAATTTACTTTTCATACACAAAATTAAAAAGGGAAATAAATCACTTGGACACATCTTTCTTATTTCAAACTCAGTGATATAATGCCTTTTATTCTTTCTTGAACTAAAACATATAGCTCTGTTGGTAAAAGACTAGAACATAAATTAATGTAGTTTGTATCATTAATTCATTCCAGAGATATTTATTAAATGAATGCTTAATGCTCACTATACCCATTTATGGTTTCCAGGTGCCTCCTTCTGATTATCTCTCTACTTTTCAAGATATTTTCCATTTTTACAAAAATGGGAATTCACATTACCTCCATATAGTGAATAATCAGTTTAGTCAAGTTCTTTGAATCTAAACTTCCAATGAAAAGAAAGTCCTATAATATAGTATTGAATTTTCTGAACGTGAAAAAAGTATTGGTCAGAAGTGAAGTAATTAATATCGTTGATGTGAGGAAGGAAAATTTCTTGATTTGCCCCTAGAATGAGTGTGAGATTTAAGAAAAGAGTGAGCTGGGCTCGGTGGCTCCGCCTGTAATCCCCCGCCTTGGGAGGCTGAGGTGAGTGGATTGCCTGAGCCCAAGGGTTCGAGACCCACCTGGGCAACTTGGCGAGACCTCATTTCTACAATAAATCAAAAAAATTAGCCGAGCGTGGGAGCGCGCGCCTGTAGTTCCAGCTACTCAGAAGGCTGAGGCGGAAGGATCACCGGAGCCCAGCAGGTCGAGGCTGCGGTGGCCGGGAGCGGCCACTGCACTCCAGTCTGGGCAACAGAGGGAGACTGCAACTCAAAAAAAAAAAAAAAAAAAAAAAAGAAAGAAAGAAAGAAAAGAAAAGAAATGAAAGAAAGCCATCTACACAAAGGTAAAGGGCAAAACATGAACGCGTATTGGTGGAACATTGAGGAATTTGTGTGGACCACAGGTTCCATACTGAAGTAACGTAAAATAATATGAATTAAAAAAGAAAATCTTGTTTTAGGTAAGTTCGAAATTAAAGTGGAAGACTTGAACTTTCCTACTAATAATGAGTAAAAAATAAAGATTTCTGAAAATAGTTTTAGGAAGCTAATATCAGATGAAGAAAAGCATTTGGAATCT